CGCTCATACATAAAAATAATAAAAAAGAATTTCTTTTTTTTCAATAGATAAAATATGATCAAGGGGGTCTTAAAACATGTATTTCCGTAAGAAAAATTTCACAAAATTTTGTATTCATTATGGGCACTTTGCTTATGTGCGTCTACATACATAGGTCTGAAAGTAAAAATGCCTGGATAATCGAGAATCTCGACTCCAGATTCTAAATCGTATGCTGTTTCCGCGAGGTCGAATTTCAGCTGTTCGAGTGCGAGAAGGCAAATGTGAGTCTTCCTCTCTCGACTCCCACGGGACGGTCTGAAATTACTTCAGGCAGCTTCGGAAAATCGAAAAAGAGGGCATGTATCAGTTTGCCTTTGTCGACTCTTCGAAACTCTACGAGCTTACGTACGCGTAATCTGGCATAGTGTGAGAAAGTGGAATGAGGTGTCTCCGGTACTCCGTTTGACATCTCTGGGGTAGTGAGCTTCCCGATTGTCATTTTTAACAACGATCATCCTAAAGTTCAGTCGTCTAGCAACAGGGTAAGTAAAAAAAAAGTAATAATGTCAAAAAAAGCAAAAGAAACCGCAAGCGTAAAGAGAGAAATAATACTAAAATATAAAATGAAAAAATCTTATAGTGAAATATCACAAACTGTTAACAGAAGTCGTTTTACTATTAGAAGCATTGTAAAACGACTTATAAATCAATCAGATTTTGATAATGCGAATAGAAGTGGTCATCCTCCCAAGTTATCTGTTAGAGAAAAACGTAGAATTGTAAACGAAGTGAAGAAAAATCCTAAATTAAACTTCTCAGAACTTAGAATGATATTAAATAAAGAATGTCAAAAAGAAGTAAGTTCAAAAAATGTATGGAGGGTATTAAAAGCTGCCGGATATTCAGCGTGTGTTGCACGAAGAAAACCATACATATCGGAAAAAATCGAAAGATTAGGGTTGAATTTGCCAAAGAATTCTACATTTTGGAGGAACATACTGTTTTCAGATGAAAGCAAATTTAATATATTTAAATTGGATGGTAGAATATTAGTTTGGAGAAAGCCAAATACTGAACTGGATCGACGGAATTTACAATCGAGTGTAAAATATGGAGATAGTAGAGTTATAGTGTGGGGTTCTATGGCAGCATCTAGGATTGGCGAATTAATTTTTATACGTGATTTATGGACAAATACTCATATTTAAATATATTAAAACAAAATTTATTCAAAAGTACGGAAAAATTAAACCTTCCGCGGAATTTTTATTTCCAACAAGATCACGATCCAAAGCACACCGCTTACTCATTCCCTAAATACACCACTCCAGAGCCCATATATGAATCCTATCAAACATCTCTGGAAGGAATTAGAAACAAGGATTAGAAAACATTATATAACAAACAAAGCAGACTTGAAGAATGTTCTTTTAGAAAAATGGAACAAAATCAAGCCGAATTTTACAAACAAGTTAGTTGATTCAATGCCCAAGCGATTAAAGGAAGTCCTTAAAAAGAAAGGTGGGCCAACTAAATATTAATATTTAATTCCAAGTCATTTTTAAATGTTTCTATTCGAGTCTGCCAATACTTTTGTTCACTCATAAAATGTTCAATAAATACATTTTTGTTATTGTTTTGTGAATCAATGTATATATTATTTCTTCTGTTATCTAATAAACTAAAATAGATACTAAATGAATATGTGAAAAAGTTTTTCTTTGAAATCAAGTTGTTTAGTAGTTATAATTATTTGTACCACAACAATCATGATGTGCCAATACCTATGTCCAGCACCGTATTTCTCAGACATTGCCTATTCTTTCGGTCGTATTTAAAATCGCGACGGGTTAATAGTATAACTTGTTCACCACGAAACTAAAGAAAAATGTTCTATAAACATTATACGCTGTCAAAAAGGACTTACGAAGCTCAAATAATGTTTTTTTTTAAATAACTTATCCGTGAACTTGAATTTTTAAATATCTTCCTAGTTATTGAGTGTAGACCAAATAAACTCTTAATGAGTAAAACACGATACAAAAAACAAAATTTTAACGTTTAAAAAACTGTTCAAGGTTAATTTTATGGCACCTTCTTACATTGTTTTCCTTTAAATTGACATTTACTTTTTTTACACCCTGTACATGACTACTAAAAGTTTCACGTTGAACTAAAATTTTAACATACCTTTTTGAATAAATACGATATTATCAAATTTGTGTTTCAAATTTGAGTTTCTTGATAATGTATGTATTCAAAAAGATATGTTAAAATTATAGTTTGGACGGAGTCTTTTGCGAGTCATATTGTATAATATTGTAAACATAAAATCATACACACGATATAAAGGTAACGTCGCGTTCACCTTTAACAATATAAATTAGCCCCGATTTTTTCGAGTCCAACCGTATTCAGCTCCATTCATTATTTATTAACTTAATCGTCCCCTTCATCGAGATTCATCGATCCCTCTATGAAGAAATGCAGGCGTCCAGTACCAAGAATACTACGCTGACATTATAAACATTGATTCCTCTTTTAGATTACCTATGCCTTTCAGTTCTCGTCGATTTATCTCTGACTCGAACAAGAAAAATCTCTTTGCCGTGATATCTCTAATACAGTAAATGCACCTGCGTCTCTAAGAACGTTGCAACAAAGTGAAAACAGAATTTTTATCCCAAGTAGAAAGCTTTAATCCAAGTATAGGCTGTCATAAAAAAAGTTTCCACATTGTTTTATATACATATACAGGATGAATCACCTAACATTTCTACCTCAAATATCACTGTTATTTTTGAAAATACGTTAAGTGTATTGAGGACAAAATTGAACGGGACAATGGGGCTCACACGATGCCAAAAATATTTTTGTTTCTATGTAATTTTTTTTAAAGAAATGAAGGTCACCTTCATTTTTTTAAATAGAATCACCTTTTCTGAAACATCTACAATGATAGTCCCTTTCATTTGGAATTCAGTGACTGTAATTATTCAAGGTCATTCAAGGTCACGGTCGGAGAAAATGGTATAAGATGTAAAACACGAAAGCTGTTGATAATCAGTCGAAGCCGCACTGGCTTCGAGACGTTGATCACCAAAGACAATGGAGCGTAAACGTGTGGTGTGGTATTTCAAACGATAAAGCAATCTGACCATACTTCATTACCGGAACGATGAAAATTTTTATAAGAAGATCTGCCGATTTTATTGGAAGATGTCCCTCTACAAAACCGTTACGATATGTAGTACCAACATGATGGCTGTCCGGCCCATTATGCACGAGTAACAAGAGAAACATTGGATTCTAGGTTTCCAAACCGATGCGATGGATAGGACGAGGTGGTATTGTTTCATGGCCAGCAAGTTCGCCTGACTTAAATTTACTGGATTCCTTTTTGTGGGGTCTGCTAAAAGAGACCGCATACGCGAATGCTCCAACAACAGTTGAAGATATGCATCAGCGGATCGTCACAGCATGTGCGAATATCACCTCGGATGTACTTGTCAGAGTTCAACATTCCTTGAGAGCCCGTTTATAGCAATGTATCGACGTAAATGGCCATCATTTTGAATATTTGTGAAATACAGGTATTCTGCTTTCATATTTTACATCTTATACCATTTTCTCTGACCGTGACCTTGAATGACCTTGAATAATTATAGTCACTGAATTCCTAATGAAAGGGACTATCATTGTAGGTGTTTCAAAAAGTGTGATTCTATTTAAAAAAATGACATAGAAACAAAAATATTTTTGGCATCGTGTGGGCCCGTTGTACCATTCAATTTTGTCCTCAAGACATTTGACGTATCTTCAAAAATAACAATGATATTTAAGGTGCAAATGTTAGGTGACTCACCCTGTATATTTAATTTAAATATTATTTAAAATATGGGTGTTTCAACTAAAAAACACCACCTAAATATCTCCTTTATTTTCAATGACATGCAAAATATTCTTTCAAGATCGTCGTTATTTTTTATCAGAAAAACTTATATTTTTTGTTATTCCATCTTGTAGAGGCTGAAAAAATACATTTAAATATATTTATGTCATGACCTTCAAGTGACCTTGAGTACCAAAATTCTGATAAAATTGTAGAATAATATTAGAATTATATTTGAATTTATTGTTTATGTTATAAAGTGCTCGAAATCATATTCAACGGCAGCTATACAGGCGACAGCAACGAATGATATGTTTATGCAATACATACGTATAATATCAATAGTTTGTTCACTCACTTCGATTATATCTGAAATATAATAATGATCAAATGGCCACACATAGCCTCTGGACAAAACACTTTCCTTAACATTTTCACGCGTTTCTTGTGTTATTTGTTTTATTTCTTGTCAAATGTTAAGCTGCTCAATTATGGTTGACTAAAGGTAACAATCCACACCCACGTGGATAATTGAAGCGTTCGAAAGTCCAGATGTGAAACGTAATGTCGTAACGTCGAAACTCGAGCCAAGAAGATGCTTATCTCTGATACAATAGGTAACGATATTACTTACACCAATCATCGATGTAATAGCAATTGTGGGACAAGAACTAAAAGATTTAATCGATGTTCGCACGAAAGTTGTATTTGCATAAGAATTTTCACTGTACGACACATCTTCGCTAATAATTTATTACTGGAACGGCGTGAACGTTTACTACTCTTGCAACGTTTTACTAAAACCCCTTCGAGAGGACGCAACCGACGTGCTGTTTTATGACACAGCAAACGGACGTTCTGTCCACTGTGAGAATGTACGATCGTTACAAGCGTCGAAGAAACCTTCTCCGGCTTTCAGGATTTTTTTTACCGTTCAGTATCTACGATTTCCTCTACTCTGCGAATCCTTCGACGAGGAAAAGGTTTTTTCACTTCGATCGGTTACATCACGATCGAACGCTCGTCTTCATTCTGTATCGCGATCTTCGAGTTGCAACAACCTCGGAATGACATTAACCGTAAGGATTTTTACTGTAACGATCTGAAATTTAGAAGACGAAGTAAGATGTCGAAACCGTTTCAGAAAATGGACTTCAACGTTCTGTGCGTTCTTGTTTACGTTTTGTGGAGAAATCTCGCAATGGCAGATGAAACGAGTGAGGATATAAGGCCTTACGAATTTTCGTTCAATATCGAGAATTTCCAGCACAGGTTCGAGAAGAAAGGTGTGTAAAACACGTGAAATTTGGATGGTTAAGTAAATTCAACAATATATAAATATTTTATAAATATTCGAATATTAGTTCTACATAGTTATATCATTAATTAAACATGCATATGTTAATTGAAGAAAATATCTGGCTGTATACTTTTTTATTATACTCCGCCGTAAGTTTCGAAGGAAATATTTGACTATAGTATACTTTTTTGTTATCCTCTAAAGTTTTCGTTACAAACTGCGTTTGAATTATGAATGTAGGTGAATTGAAAGTTGCAATTAACTTCTGTGAAATTGAATCAATAATAATTGTTTTGGAAGACGTATCCATCGATTTGAAATGAACGACTTACGACAGCTGTCAGAAGAATATACAGGGTGTTCGGCCACCCCTCGGAAAAATTTTAATGGAAGATTCTAGAGGCCAAAATAAGACGAAAATCAAGAATATCAATTTCTTGACTAAGGCTTCGTTAAAATGTTATTAAAAAATTTAATTTAAAAATTTCAAATCATTCTGAAAAAATTATTTTCGGTTGTAGGGGTCGATTACAATCATTTTTGGTCAATAGACATACCCCTGAAATCCTACCCATTTTCAAGAAAACAAATTCGAGAATGTGTGAAATTTTTCGACAAAATTAAAAAATTTCAAATCGTTCTAAAAAAATTATTTTTGGTTGTAGGGGTCAATGCTAATCATTTTTAGTCAATAGACATACTCCCGAAATCGTACCAACTTTCGAGAAAACAAATTCAGTACGATCGGAAATTTAAACGTTAATAACTTTTTAACGAACCTCCATCAATAAATTGGTATTCTTGATTTTCGTCCTATTTTGGCCTCTAGAATTTCCCATTAAAATTTTTCCCAGGGGTGGCCGAACACCCCGTATAAGGAACTATAAAAGTAGAGATACCATAATGAACATATAACATAAGATTTGATCCTGAACAAACTCAATAAGTTGATCGAACAATAACGTTGCGACAGAAACAATGAAATCACGTACACGTGACAGCGGCTGTTAAAGTATTAACGCATGATGTGCTAGAAACGTGTAGAAAAAACTAAAAATTCCATTTTAATTAAGATTATTTTATATTTATATATTAAAGTAAAAATTGAAATATAAATTTTACATTTCGTTTCCGTCGTTTAATCTCTTTGCCATACCTGTTTACCAGTCATTTTTTAACGTTCTCCATTTGAACGAAACGGTGGAACGATAGCGACATTAGTAAACAAACTACTGAGAGACTAGAATGGCATAAAAATCTTTTCTCTCGGATGGTTCAAAATGCCAAAAACGTGGCAACCAGTAAACAATATTTTATCAGACTGACAATCTCGACGAAAAATAACTTAAAATAAAATTAATATTTTTCAGTAGCTCGTTTCCTCATTTATTTTCCAATGAATTTTCAATAGATTAATAAATTGAAATAAGCACATGATCTTACTTTAGACGTTGAAGGAATCATCACCGGAGAATTCGGATTCATAACCGCCGACGGAGTGTATCACGAAACCGGATATGCAACGGACAAGAACGGCGATTTCATTATCACCAGGATGAGAAACAGGAAGATCACCAATCGTGAGTCTCCGAACCATCGAGCTTGCAATATTCGTTGCCCCGCGATCGAGGACTCGTTGGTCGAACTAATTAATTTTGTTTCCACAAGTGAAGGACGCGCTGGAGATATTCAAAGACAGACCAGAAACTGCGAAGAAGCTCGTTGAAGCCGTGGCGCGGGCTTGCAGCAGTTGTAAAATTCCTGTGAAGCAAGTCGGACCAGATCACGCCACGACGATTGCACCAACGACTGCTTTCAAGACAAAAAGCACGAAACCTGGTGAAGCATTATCTTAAAGCTTTAAATTTGTCTCATTGCGATCCAGTTGCAATTAAGAAAGAAACTTTTTACAGTATTTCGATTTCTTTTTTACAGGTGAAGCAATTACTAAGAACAAATTGGCCCAAGAAAGGAATAGAATACCTGAAAATTCCAAGGATTTGTTCAACGAAAGAAGAGGGAAAAGCTTGATAGATGCCATGATGAACACGATCAATGGAGCAAAGAAATTTTTGAATACGACTGGAGCTGATCAGAATTTTCTTGAAAAAATGGCGAACGATCTTTATTATCGATTCAACTACACAATTACGTCTCATGGGCATCAAGAAGACGGGTACAGGGACGGGAAAAAGGACGGCAGTTATCGAGCACAAAGTGAAAATGGTGTCGACACCCGGGTGAAGTATCTGTCGAACGAATTCGGTCATCAGCCCAACGTTTCGTTCGTTCCGAGATCCAATGGGACGACGGAGCACCAACGTCTCAAGGGATATTCTTTTCTTTGGAATTGGTCGTGAAAAATATCTTTTATACAATACACTTTACTCGATAAGAAATTTATGTAACAAGACAATGTGGATAAATCTTAATTTCGGTGTCCAATAAGACTTACTTAGCTTTTGTTTTCATTTTCTTAAATTTCTAATCTTAAAAACGTAATTATAAAGTAATATGGTAAAAATAATTTTTGAAGGAATCCGTACATTTATCATAAATAACGACGTGTAACGCTTGAAAACAATTTTTTTAATTATATTAATCAGTGATTCAGAATCTCCCACGCAACTAGGAAAAAATATAGTATATAGATGTATATGTAAAACGATATTGTGATACAAAAAAATGTCATGAAGCAAAATTAAACGGCATCAAATGATGCACAAACTGAATGCAATTCTTTTCATTTTTATGTGTACTTTTTTTAATGGAACTTAAACTATTCGATGTAGTTTTTTAATTTTTACAAAAATGTATTAAGACTTTGTCTGACACGTTATCCATGCATGGATGACAAGGCTTTTCACATTGGGACTAAAACAATTAATTCCCAAGTTGAAATGTTAAAGAAAATAAATTTGAATAGGATTCATGAATTTTAGTTTTATTTTAATTTACGTAATTTACAATTGTTTAAAATTAAAGATTTGTTCTTGTAAAAAATTTTAGAGTTTTATTTTGACAGTCAACGTGTTAAGGCTTAATAGTTCATAAATTATAACAGTTTTGAAATTACTGAATATAATCTGGCGTATTTAGCATGTAAATAGCAGTGATGATGAATCCTTGTTTTATTAGTACAATTATGTCCTGATTTGTTATATATATGTACTTACGTTCTTTTTTATTATAGAAATAATTATCTGAGTTATTATAATTATCCGTTTAATTCCGTTTCTCACAGATCGTAAAGAGTTCGTTAAAGGGTTTACAACTATTTTTTACATTAGTATTATACTATTATTTATATGTATATATATAATTGCAAGTATTTATCTCCTGTGTCTTTGCTCTCTAAATTCAAAAGAACTCATTACACATATAATTATTGTATTTTGCATAACTACTGGAGCAAAAAAGTGTTACACTTTCTAATTTCTCCAGCTCGTTGACGTAATATCTCGTGAGAAAATGGTCTGATTAATTTAAAATTTTTCACAGATGGAAAGCAAATATCCGTCTAATATTCACTTACAAATCAACTTCATATTTATGAATATTTTTTTATTAATGAGAGAATAAAAAATGTGCAGAAGCCGTATTTTCTTTTAAAATACAGTCATTTTTTAAATTCGTGAGATTTTTATTTATTTCGTGACGCAGACTAAGAATCTCTTTGAGTTTAATGATTTGAACGACCGTTATATCAATTATAAAAACAAATTTTTGTTACCCAATCTGTGTGAAATTGTATGTCTTCAAGAAAATAAATGAATCATTTGTGTTTGAAAAAGTTTGTTTCGTTAGTTAAAATATAAGTAAATATATACGCAAAATTTGAAACTGATATAATCAATGATTTTCTTTAAAAAAAAAATCTTGAAAATCACGTAATATTTAGGATTAAAAACCAGACAAACTTCTTATAACCATTTGAGTTACAAATAAAGTAATTAAAAAGTAGAAAAATCTATAGTAGTAGTAAATTGTTCAAATATAAAAAAAAACTGACGTTTGGAAGAAACAATACGTGACGTGCGTGAGACACGAAAAGACTTCTAGCTCGTTTGACTCGATAACTAAATTTTCGAAAACTAAATTTCAGCTTTTAACATTTAAATGAAATAAGGAATTAATTAATGTTCGACAAGTTCCTTTCTTACTAGCTACCAAACGATGCTAACGTCTATATTCGTCTGATTTAACGAAGCTCTAGGAATGTAGTTCTTCGACGATGACACATTTTTTTGGAATTTGTCTTCGAAACGTTAATTCGTGTCAAGCACGTGAAACTCGTTTAAATAATAAAATCTAGTTTCACCGGTCCAAATATATATGCATTATGATTTGCAAATTAGTGTAGAAGTTACACGGTCGACGAAAACTTTCCGAATTCGAACGATTATTCTCAACAAAATTTCGGCAAGGAAGTATTAAAAATCGAGTCGAGGGACACGACAAAATAAATAATAATTATTATTATACATCTTTATTGTACCAGAATTGTATATATTATATTAAGCTATTCAGTACTTTCTTTTCTTTGTTTTAGAGCTTAGGCTATATGTATATTAATGTTCCTCAGAAATAGAATGGGGTTCTTTACATTATGTCACTTATCCCATTTTTAATTTTGTATTCTTCCCTGATATGGTGAAAATCGTTACATTCAAAAATAATATTGGTACACTATTTTTCGTTATTAGGTATGAATTAATTAATTTAGTGTACCATATTAATATACGTATAACTTTCACTTGGTCGTATCTTCTTCATGCGTGAAGGGAATCAAAATGTACAGAAATCAAAATAAGTATGTATACTGTAAGTGTAGTTAGTAAGTATAATTATGTATTATTATTAACTTAACCTTAAAAACAATTTAAAAAATGGAAGCAGTAAGCAATTATAAACTAAGAGCAATATGACATCAAAATCTAAAATTTCATGTCACATTCTGTATTTCCGAAATGAACGAATGCAATTAAATGATTTACTTTAAACAATCGAATACTTACTGAAAAACTTCTGTAAATTGACGTTTCCTCGCTCTGCCGATTGAGCCAGAAATGTCAATTACGATTCTTTGTCTTGCTTAACAGGTTATTCACTTTTATTATTTACGGTGTTAAAAATTAGATAATATTAATAATTTTGTAGATACTTGGGTATTACTTGGGTATTGGGTACCTGAAATATGCTGCACTTCCTCATATTTAGACGTTTTCTTAACACCTTTTCATTGTTGTTAATGGGGTCAATCGCTCTCAGGTGGCCAACAACTATGCGCCTGGACATGCGTCGTAAACGTCGTTGGATTTCTATGAGCTGTTATGACACTGTTAGCACATTTGTCGTACCTTTCAGTAATCGAATAAATGAACGTAAATCATCGCGCACGCGCGGCAATTACAAGTGAGTTTTGCATAGAGGAAGAATGAAGTTCACGGTGAATCGCGTGGACAGCAATATCTGAGTTGTTATGACAGTTGTTCTGTTAGGCCGGAACACGCGAGACTGCGCGCCTCTAAGAGGCGGAACGTCTTTATTATGGTAATCGAACGGAGCAGAAGTTCACGTAAGGCTAAAGCAACGCTTCGTTCTCTCGATCGTCCGAGCGAAATGTGCAGTCCTCGATCGACTCCTGCGCTCGTTCGCCATCATCGTTTCATCGAAAACGAGGGACGGGAAGGGAAATAAAAAAAAGGTTGTGTCCCAGGTGCGTAAAAAAAAAATACGCGTTTATTCTTGGTTCCATGGTATTTCGAAAGTAACGATTTCACTACGATTCCGTGTGTCTTCGTTCTTTAAATAACGATAAAAGATGGCCGGAATTAGGTTGTATTAGCATCCCGCTACGATTCCAAGCGGAATTTCTGTCGTCGGTCCACGTACGTGATCCACGTGCATGCCAAGTTACACGCGCGCGAGCCTAAATCCATTATTTTGTTTTCTTTTCCGTAGTGCAAACAACGGGGAACGATCGCCGAACGCCGCATAAAAAATTCATTCCCACCGCGGAAAACGGATTTTCGGATCGCGTAACCATTTCCGCGGAATAGCAATTAGCGAATGCAAATTGGTTTCAGAAACGAAACTTGGCTGGCGCCAAAGGAACGCGCTTGCAAATTTTCACAAATAATAGAAAATTAACGGAGATACGAACAAATAATATTTTCATAAATATATTAATTCAAATATTTATGGTGAACACTTAAACGCGACCGTGACAAGGTTGTCTAAGGTCAACGCAAGATTAACATTATGATGTGCTTCCCTTAACACTTTTTGGAACTGAAACAATTCATTTTCAAGCTGAAATGTTAAAGGAAGTAAATTTTAATTTGTGTAGTTTATAATTATCGAAAATCAAAATTTTGATCTCGTAAAAAACTTTACAGTTTTGGTCTGGCAGTCAACGTGTTAATACCATACATTTGTCTGAAACATTTTTCCGTATAGTTTTCGAAATATTTATACGTTTATAAAGGGTAGGTAGAAAATTGTAGCATGATCGTCAAAGGAGTAATTCTACGTAAAAACATAAGGAAAAAATATGGTATACAATTTTATAATTCAGGACTGAGAAAATCATATTTGAAATTTATTCAATTACACAATACGATCTATTTATTGGGTATTCTATTAGGTTGTCTCTGTTTGCACTAGTATTTACAAACATTGATAATGATAAGATACTGTAGAAAATATCCAAATAGTTCGATGTCTAACAAAAATCATAGATCAAACAAATTATCAAGTTATGACAAGGTATTTTAATCGAGAGTTTGCTGACATATTACTCGCTTTGAGAGCTTGTGGAGGTAAAATAGAAAACTAATAATAATAATATGTAACAACAAAAAGGACATTTCCAACAGTACTTGTAAAGTAATAAACTTTAAATTCGTTTTTTTTAAGACGAAACCTCGGATGAAAAAATTGATACCAAATTTTTTCTTTGTTTCCTTACGTAGAATTACTCCTTTCTCCTTTTTCCAACCATCCTATATACAGGGTGTCCCGTAAATAGTGTAAGAACCGGAAATGGATGGTAGGTGAGACGATTCTGAACAACAATTTCCTTTGCAAAAATGTCGGATGGGGCTTCGTTTTTGAATTATTAACGAAAAACACTGATATATACGTATATTAAATGCTTTTCATAAAGTCGAGAAAATTGTTATAGTTGTCATAGGAATCGTTTAAATTAACTGTTAACTGTGGCTCCGCTCGTGTTGAAGTCATTTTTACTGACAGTTCTTTATAGATTGTCATGTTCCTCAAATTAAACTAATCAGAATAATGGTGGTTTAATTAGAATTGATTTAGTAGACTCTGAGTTCACTAGAAATAAACAAACAAATAAATAGATAGACGGACAAAAATTCTAAAAATGTATAGGTAATTTCTTTTAGTTAAGTAGTTCAACATTCTTGTTTATAGTCTATAGTTTAATTTCAAAATATATTTTATTAATATCAATTATATTAGGAATATACTTTTCAATATTACAATATATGTATAGAATATAGTGATGCAAAATTTTGCATTAATGATAGAATTCTTTTATTCAACAACAGATTTTCATAGAACATATGTAATTATTGAAATTGTATTCTTATTAACATATTTATTACATATACATTCTAATCATTTTTCTAAAATTCATCATTTTCATTTTGAAACATCATTATGATATTGACATTTTGTAGATATTATTTGATTATTTGAATATATTTCAATCTATTGATGAATATATTACATATATTGTATAAAAAATATATTTAATTTCTACTTAAAAATTTATAAAAAAATAATTATAATTTAAAATTCTTGTATATCACTTTTATTAAAAAAACAATTGAGATAAAATTTTTCCTATTGAATGCGGATTTAATCCACTAACTAAATATCATTTCTAATTATATTTCTAATGTTTGATATTGAAATTATTCAACTATTTATTCAACTATATTTACATTTACATTTATTATATTTTTATCGATTTTAGTTATTACATTAATCATAGAATGAGCAATAAATTATTTAAAATTTATTAATTCAAATTAGAAAATGTAAATTATACAGATTATTTTAAAATAAAACAAATTTTGAATTCGAAATTAAATGTAAAATTTTACTTTATATAATAATATTAATTATAAATAAAAGTGGATATTAGTTAAAAAAAAATCATTTAAATTGCATTTAAAAATAAAATAAAACTATATCTAAAAATTATTAGTTGAAACCAAATAAAGGTAAATTGTTATCAACAATTTCATTGAAAATAATTTCAATTAAAGTTATAAATATATAAATATTATTTTTATATTGAAAATATAAACTGTAAACTGTAGTCCAAGTTAAAATTGCCTATAAATTTTAAATAAATTATGAATCGATCGTTTCACGTATTTTCGAAACGAAGATAGACGAACATTTTAAAAATGTGTAATTTTTTTGGATTTCCTATAGACTATAATATGATTAAAGTCGAAATTGCCTAAAAGTTTAATAGTTACAATTTCATTTATACAGCTTAATACATAATTGATCACCTTAGCTACTTGTGGAATAGTTTTTGCCTGTCGCACAGTGGCGCCATATCCCGAAAATGCTGTAAGAAGCATTTTCTGACCAAACACATACAATATCTTACGAGGTATTGAAGATATTAAAAAAGTGTTTTGAAAAGTTATTTTATATAAAGGGGCGCGTTATGTGGCATAATAATTTTTGTGTAGATGGAGTGGTGGGGGAGATTACAAGGTCAAGGTAATTTTTTTAAGTGGAACTACATATTTTTCTGTTCATAATATGATAGCGTTTGTTGTAACAAATTCAACGACAGATCAACGGAAATCACTAGCCGAATCCTACATACTGCAGCAACAAAAGTTTATAAAAGGTTAAAAGGTTATACTGCGAAACAAAAGTTTTTTGCTGTAATTTTCGCAGTAACAGCTAGTAGCAGCTAATTTTTTTTTAGGAATAAAAGCAAGACATAGATCTTCAAAATGAGACTAGACTTGAGATGAGACTTCAGTTCTAATCAAAAAATGGAATTAAAATTGAAAATGTTCAATTAGGCATAACTCAAAAACTATCATAGATATAAGAATAATTTGGTACAATTCAGGTACATACTAGGTAAGATTGATTTCATCGCTCATCATTTAAATTAAAAAAACAACACAGTTATGTAGTTTCCGACGATTTTGAGATTTACCACTTCAGAACCACCTAATTGTTTCCAAAATTAACAAAAAAATATATGTGAATAAATTTTTCATTATGGGTATACTTTTTAAAAAGTGGCTTATTGCCGCATTTTCGATAAACGGCACCACTGTGCGTCGTGCGGGTAAAACGAAGGGCCCATTGACGGGACCGAGCCCCACGAGGTGTCCAGAATTCTTTAAGGAGAGCCAGACGCTAGCGTGCCCGTGCGACGTGTGCCCACGAAAACAGTGGCAGTGGGGGGATGCCGGTCGGTTCTCACTCGAAACAGGACCAACTTGATTGGCGGAAGTCCAGAAGGAAGGGGTTAGACTCTCATATATGTTCGATCACGCACCTTCCACAACCACTTGTTGCCCGTGACACGCGGTTCAAGGATATAAAAAGAGGAAGGTCGTAGCGTGAATTAAAGGAAAACCGAGTAAGGGTGGAGATCAGGACGCCTCGTGGTGCATTCGCGGTGGTGACAGTGTCATTTGTCGCATTTTCTCTCGAGGGATCTACGGAGATCAAACTGTAATCATGAGGACAGTGTCGGTCTTACTGCTGTTGGGGCTGGCCCTGTACGTCCAGGGTGAACCGATCGAGAGGAAACAGGACGACGAGAGTGCTCTGTACTGTGTGCTCAAGGAGAACGCGATGGAATGTCTGAGAACCAGGCTGGCCAGAGACATCGATCGGATCGAGATGCAGGTGACCGGGGCGAAGAGCGAGACGCCTATAAGCGCGGTCATCGAGCAGGCTGGCAACTTCGTGGCCGAGGTGGTCGACGATTTTCAGAATCCCGGAAGAGCCGACGGAGCCGGGGAAGAGACGGAAGCTGGCGAACAAGGTGAGAGACGAGCGATAAACAACTCGGGAAAAGCGAAGTGACACGCGAGCCACGGGAATTCGTGTTTCGGTAGTGGCGCGCGAATCTCGAACTCGAACGACAATCGAATAGATCGAGCGAGGAATTTCTAATCGATTCGCCGGCACGTGGATCGCATGACAAAGCCAGCCGCAAACCTTTCCGGGCTCCTCGCCACGGGCACCGTTAAAAATCTCGACTTTTACCGACCTTGAACTTACCGGACACGAGACACCTCCAATTAACAGTTCGAGGCTTCCATGTAATTTCGTCAGCCCCATTTGTCCCATTCGATCGTAGAGTCGTCGCAAGGTTAGATCAATGGCGTTACAACGGTTCTCGCTTAAAGACCGGCGCGACTCGTTTTTACGATATTAATTCTGGGAAATTTGCTTTACGACTACCGCGAACAGAACGCAAAGACGACGCGTTGATGTTTAAACTCTCGAGTCGTTGGATTTGGCGACGAAATACGGCGTGAACAAGGCATCCAATATGTACGGAAAGTGTTTAACGTTTGCTCGATGAATGACAATTAACAGGGGAATGTTGACAGAAGACGAGAATTCTACTATCCATCGAATACGTGTCTTTAGGTCACCGGCGATCGTTTGAAATGCAATATCCGATATGTCACCGTTGTTCCTCAGTTTGCGCGCAATTTAATGGGACGGCTCGGGTAAATCTTTGCTAACGGTACCTGAGCTCGTTATCGTCGTTATCTTTTCGTGCAAGTCGCCAGAAAATTGAACAATTTGGCAGCCGTATTATGTAGAATTTCGTTTAAAATACGTCGTTGGAAGCACCAAAAGCGGTGCTCCTCTTCTTCGACGAGGTATCGCGATGAAAATCGTGACTCATTTTTAAGAAAGCCGCACCAATCGAAAGAAATTCCGTGGGCCACGCGGATTGCAGGTTTCTGGGTCAAGCGACCGGGACATCCAAAAAGTTGATTTAATTGCTTGACCGAGGCAAGTGTTGGTCCTTTTCGATACAGAATTCGTTAAAGTTCCTCCCTTTGCTTTCATTAGAGTCGATGTTTTTGATTTTCTCTCGAGCAGCGCTACAGGGGTTTGAGTTTCTCCCCCATCCCAACTGTTTAAATAAAATTCACTAGTTTCAAACGATTTCTTTATTGTAAGACGAACATTGGATAATTATCAAAACATTTTTAGCCTTTGCTTGTTTTTATTATTTTTGGAGCTGGGATTTTCGAATCTCAAAAATTTATAATCTTTGAGATCCCTTTTTGAGCGCTTTGAGAGATCAATAGAAGATAATATAGAATATATGTAGAATATTCTATTTCCAATCAAATTAACTAATAATGTTAGTTTTCTTAACTACTAGAGTGGCCCATAAGTCATTTTGTTTCGATCTTTTCTGTTGAAATTGTATACAATGTAACAATAATAAAGTAAATATTTTTACGAAATTTTTAATTCCATTATAAGTATTTATTTTATGTGATTGCGACTTTTTCTATTTTTATGTATATTTATTCCTCGAATTGTGACAGCCTCTTCATTTTCCAATTTGTATGTCTTCTTCGCCAAATTTCACTTGCTTCCTCAGAACAATACATTAAAGTTCGATAACTAAAACAAATATAAAATAAGTATAAATAACAAATAATCTCATGTGGGTAGAAAGTATTGAGAAAACGAGTATAAAATTTTCTGCAATCTTTAAATTTTGATAGAAATTAATAAATCTTCGTTTCCGAGTTGCCCTTGAAAGCAAAATGGAGTCTAATTTTGACTCGAATGTTTAAGTTAGCAGAACTTTTACCCAACATTAATTTTACTTTCTCATTTTTATTCATGGAATAAAGTCGTGATTATAAATGTAATGTGAATCGATAAACTTAACGAAAAATGGTATTCAACGAAGAAATGAATGAAAGTTCGTAAACGAGTGACGTAAACACCCTCGTTACGCGCATGATTTCGCAGACAATTTGCGGCGATACGAATCGCGGCCATCAAGTCGACCAAAGAGAGTGAGTTCGTGGTAAGCAAACGAGACTGTTGTTTTTCCGGTTTCTGTGTCGATTCACGCATTAATGTGCGTTTGGGTCAGGGGAAGGCGTTGGGAAGCATTGGTGCCACGGAATTGAAGAGCGTCTTTGGGATTGTAACGGTGTTACGGTGTTGTCTTCTTCGACTTTACCTGTAACTCGCTGCAGTACGAAAATCGCTTCCACGGAAATTAATACTAAATTTACAGACATTTTTTTCAGTTAAGATATACGATCGAACCTTACTGCGATAAAAATTTTGTTCATTCACTTCCATTCCGTTATGAAAACCTCTGCAATTCGAAATATAAACTTTGTATAATTCAAATTATTACCAATGCAAGTGTATTACTTTGCAAATCGAAATTTGCCTCTGTAACTCAAAGTTTTATCTGTATGATTTTAATTTTTCTCTATTTAACTTCATGTAGTCAAAACTTCGATAAGGCGAAATTTCTATAATTCGAAGATTTTTTTCCTTTGAGATTCGACTGTATATTCATATAGTTACATTAATCAAATTCAACGTAAATTACTATAAAATAATATTAATGAGTTCTATAACTTTAAGTGTGGAATACGAAACTCAACAAATTAATGGATTCCATAAATCTAGTGTTAAAAAGAGTTACATTATAGGGGCTCAACGGGTTATATCGTTTTAGGGGCGTCAAAAAATAAAATCGAAAAATCACAAATAAAGAAAAATCTTCTATACAGGGTGTTCGGCCACCCCTGGGAAAAATTTTAATGAGAGATTCTAGAGACCAAAATAAGGTGAACATCAAAAATATCAATTCTTAGATTGAGGCTTCGTTAAAAAGTTACTAAAAAATGAAATTAAAAAATTTCATATCATTCTGAAAAAATTATTTTTGGTTGCGGGGATCGATTACAAGCATTTTTGATCAATACACATACTCCCGAAATCCTACACACTTTCGAGAAAAAAATTCGGATATGTGCCTAAATTTTCTGGCGAAAAAAAATTTCAAATCGTTTTGAAAAAATTATTTTTAGTTGCGAGAGTCGATTACAAGCATTTTTTATCAATACACATACTCCCGAAATCCTACACACTTTCGAGAAAAAAATTCCTCTCCATTCGTAGTAACTGCAATAAAAAAAAGAATTATTTCTCATTATGGAAAAATTAAGAGGGATATTTTTTCGTATAGATTTTTATAAACAATACATGAGCTTCATTCTTATTGTTACTAAATTGAATCCAACGCCGTAACAATAATAATAGTATATTACCTGTTTTGATAGTTCAAACTAGGCTCATTAACCTGTACTATAAAAAGTGCATTTATCGATGCATTGCCACTATCGCTTTCATAGTAGCTTTCAGCAATTTTAACTTATTTAGAGTAGCAAATGTAATTAAACATATTAACAGACATAGTGGAGTATATAATAGGTACACTATTTTGATAAAAATCTAGTCACTGTGGTACTAAAAATATATTCTACCATTCAACCAAATAGAATATATTATCGCAAGTCGAGTTTAGACTAAAAATATATTCTCTAAAAAAAATTTTAGTTTAGTTTTAAAATGAATTTTCACTATTCATTTGTAAATAAATATTTATAATAATTATAAAATATACAATATTTATTTATATTTAAAAAATGATACCAGTTAAGGAATAATATGTTTCCATTCAAGATAAGATACTAGGGCTATAAAATTAGTATTGCAGAAGCTACTTAATTACATAAACAAAAATCAATGCTGATGTAGCACCTGTTTCTTCCTCCTCACTGAGCTTCTCGATCGTATATACAGAATAAAGAAAACAATCGACACACCTAAAAAAAATTATATCTCTCTGAAATCCCCTGTAATAAAGAATTAGAGTAGAAAAGTTCGTCTTGAAATTTCATGGCCATTAAATTTCCCGTGACGCGTTGATTTCAGAGGAAGGACGCATGAAGAAGATTGGCAAGAAGAAGAAGAAGCAGCTGCAGAAGCTGTTGAGCCTGGCGATGGTATTCAAGGCGAAGCTCAGTCTGTTGCTTCAACTGATCTCCACCCACCTGCAAGTGAAATTGTTCGCGATCGCCATCATCGGATTGGTCCTGAACGCGGTCAAATTCTGGTTGGATTTGAAGAAGGGCCACCCGTCGAAGGTCATCTACTACGAGCACGCTCAGCACCAGCACCATTACGATCACGATGACCACGAGCAAAACTATTGGGGACGATCCTCCGGGAACGAATCTCCTCATAACCTAGCTTACTCCAGCTACGCGCCCAAAGACTAACCCCCACGGGCGATCGAAACGAAAAGAGATCAATCTTCTCGATGACAGGAAGTAATAGCAGCGAGAAGGAACGGTCGAATCGTCGCTGCGATTATTCTCTCCGTGCTCAGGTCTCTAGTTAATTGTTGAGAAATAATTGAAGCGACATTTCCCTCCCTTTCCCTCCCTTTTTCGCTGCCCACGTTATTTTTATATTTATGTTTACCTATTTATTTTGTTTGTTATTTATGTTAACGACCACTGCGGCTAGCGCGTGAGTTTCAGTGTTCAAAGTCCACTTTGTGTACCTGCTGTCGCACGTCATCCCGCGCCCCATACCTAAATTATGTTAATTTAATCCTTTTTTGTTTAAATAACGCCTGTAAGAAACGTACAAGCAATAAATTATTTTGATAGTAAACCAAGATTCTTCGACGTTACCCCTTCTCGAGTAAATCTCCGTCGAGAAGTCGATCGTATCCGTCTATAAATTCGTACGCGAACGTATTAAGCATTCAACGCGACTCGTAGATCGTCGATTTATCGACGGTGAATAAGAAGCATGATCGCTACGCCGCGAAAGTTTGCCGAATCAACCTGCGACCTTCTTTCTCCGCGAAGCGTGGACCAGCCCGAAGCATTCCTTTTGTATTCCTCGTCGACGCGCGAAGGAAAATGCGGCTGGAATCATCAACGAGCACCGATACTTTCGGGCTGTTCACCTTGCCGCAAATGCGATCGAACGATAAACAGTGGAGATTCTTGAGGCGATTCCCACGTCTTCCTTTTTTGCCATCGAACTGAAGAAAATCTTGCAAAAATGGTTTTGTTTCTGCAGGAACATTTCGAGAATTGCCCGACAAAATATCATCGTTTATAATTATTATTATTATTATAAACAAAGGTAACACGTGACAAATTATTACCGAAAAATATCGCCAAGAGCTCTATTTTAATAAAAGTTTACGTGTAGGTTAAGATATTTATTTGAGTATCGCAAATGGTTCTATCTTTGTTCGATAGTATGTTTCGATTTTATCCGCCATTGAATCAACCACCTTTTTTTGCCTTCAAACTAAAGAAGATCTTGTTGAAAAAATACTTTCGATTTTGATGGCGAACGAAAGCGAAAATCGTGACGTTTAAATTATTATTTATTTTACAGTTTTGCGGGAATATTTTAATACGATTGCTTAACAAAATATCACCAAGTATTATAATTAACATTATAAATAAAGATAACCCGTGACAGATTATTAACAGAAATATAAACAAGAGTCTTATTTTAATAAAGAATCAAAAGTAAGTGAAGATACTTACTTAAGTATCACAAATGATCATATTGCTGTACAATGGTATGTCTCGATTTTATCCGCCATTAAATCAATTATCTACGTTAAATAAAAAAGAAAAGCCCACCAAAAAACTATCCCAATCTTTTCCCATTTCTGATTTTAAATTATACTTAATTTGAATTGAAATATCTTTAACTGTGATATTTTGTCATGCTACCGACACAAACATTATCTCTTCTAGCCTCCATTCTTACTTATTCTACATTTTATTTTCCCCTTACCCTTATTCATATCCAATTCTTAACCTATTCTTCTCGAATACCCCAATTATCCCTTTCCTCTCTACTTGTTCTCCTCCTTTCTCCCAATTCCCTCCCCGCTACCATTCCCTCATCCCTCAATAACCTAATTATCCCTCCTTTGCATCTCCACGCCAAACGGTTCATTCTGTTTCCCACCATAACTCATATTTTCCTTTTTACATAACTTCCCAATACCTATTACCCCTTTCTTTGTTCCCACATCTCTTGCTGTGGCTATTATTTTCACGATGTTTAAATTAATTAATGCCTTGGTTCGTGACAGTGATCTTGTAAGCTACCAATAACTATTGAAACAACATTTTGCATCAATATTTCTGTAACTAAGTCTGCTAAGAAAATAAACGAAACGATACAGGTTCGAATGAGAACAGACTTATGGCGAGAAAAAGATTGAACGTAAGATTTTAAGAAAAATTATATATCTTGATAATTAAACAAGTATGTCAATTTTTCAAATGCGGAGATTTCTAAATAATAAAATTAATATGTATTAATATTATTATTAATATTAATGTGTATTAATATTATTAATACAATGATAACGATAATGATAATAATAATTTATTCTACAGATAAACTATTGCACGGGTAGAGATTGAAACAACATTTTAACTTAACTTAACTAAATTTAACAACTTTTTGTAATTAAATATGCTAAGAAAATAAACAAAGCCATACAAGTTCAATATTAAATATATTCATCTTAATAATTAAACAAGTATTTAAATTTTTCAAATTCGGAAATTTCAAAATAAAACAATTAATACGAAAAAAGAACCTGCATTGATTGACAATGACAATGACAACGATGACGATAGTGTTAATAATAATTATAATAATAATTTATTGCACAGGTAACCCCTCTAAAGTATATATACATATACATATATATAATACAATACAGAAAAATAAATCAATAAGAATTATAAATAGTATGGTTCATAATATGGTTAACAAGTCTTTTCTGAATTCGCACGGTGAATTTGAAACAAATCTAATTTGCTGCTATGTAGATTCCTGTTATTGGATCGGAATTCATACATTAGAAAATCAGTAGCATAAAAATACGCGTGAAACGAAAAGATCTGTGAGATGCATTTAGAGACTTTAAGAGAGGCTGAACTAATTTAAATTGTAAAAAAAATGATATCTGCAATCGTTCTACGAGTATCCAATGGTAGTAAGTTTAGAAGGTTCATAATTTCATTTAATCGTAATAACAATCAAATATAGACATGGCTTGCCCTGCTCTAAATGCAATGGAACAGAGTAATTTATATTATATACTTTCTATCATCTGTTTATGTTTGATTAGGTTTGACCCTACAAAATTTGTATCAGTTTAGATGTGAGATTTCTCCGAATATTTGCTAAATCTGGTACCAGCTGATTTCCGCATATACAAAAATTCCCAACACTTTTCTGATGAACAAAAAAATTAATAATAAAACAGATATACAAAATTCTAGAAGTACCTATAGATTCTTTTGCAAAATGTAAAAAAATGGCAGAAATGCATTGAATATTATGAAGTTATATTTTAACAAAATTTAGCTATGGATCAGTCGTTTCATGTGTAAGAACCTTCATTTATGATCGCCTTAGATTTCTTCTTCTATTTTTCTATGGTGATCGCTATCAATACTACCTTAGGTATTGAAAGGACTGTTGCTCCATTAATAAATTATTATTATTCGAGGACGAGGAGGGGCAACCGAGTATATCACGATCGTGATATTTCGTGATCCTCATGGTCAATGACCAGAAACGGGCAGGGTTTCGTAATCGCGGTGGGGATCCCATGAAAACTGTTAAGTATTCACATCCCGAAGAGTCGCTGGTCACCGTTGCGTCCTTAACGAAGACGAGGCCCGCGCTACCCGACTTGCCCTCGGATTTTCGACGTCTGAAACCTCTTTTCGGAGCTCCGATTGGACCGTGGCCAACGAGACCACCGTGTCACATTGAAATCATCGGAATTCTTGAGAAGAGACGCTGAAATTATCCTTCCGCGGTTCATTTATAGAATTTCATCGCAGCGCCTACGTCCACCTTTTTCTTAATCAGCTAACGAATTTCAATCTGGCATGGCCGGCTTTGGCAGAAGGAGGGTTATTTCGATTCTATCGCCATTTGCATCCGACCTTCGAGGCGAGCACGTCTCCGGGTTATTCATAGAGAGAATACGCCGCATCCGATTCCTTTCAGGAATATTCTTCCTTCGACGGAAGGACGTCTGAGTCTGGCGAAACTCTTAAGGGCATATTAATGCCTCTTTGTCTCGTCGAGTCGTCGTCGATTTTCTATTATACGTCAATGTACGAACGCAACCCTTGCTTCGTTACAATTGCGAAAGAAACCGGTGTGGCTGGATGTCTTCGGAATAAAATCCGGCGCTACGAACGGAAACCGAAAAACCAAATAACGGATGTCACGCGAATCAGGATGAAGGAATTCTGTCCTGGAGTGCACGGGGAGCATATCTTTCGGCACATCAGAACCAGAGAAATTTGCATCGAGCCTTCGAGGATGATGTGGACGTCTGGATGGTCATTGGCAGACCAAACGTGATGAAATTACTAATTTCTACCTACCGAGAATCGGCCATTCATACAATATTCAAGATCCTTACGCGCAGGTCGCTATATAACACCCTTCCGTGGATCGAATCATCAGTCTCCTCAGGATCCTCGAAGACGGAGCTCGATACACCTTTAAAATCCCCCTGGAGTCCATCACCGGAAACTGTAACCGGAATTCGGCGAAAACTATCACGAATCCCTGTAGATATTTAATTTAATTCGTCATGATTCGACAATCGTACCCGATCGTGTTGTTAGTCGGCGTATTTGCCATCGTTTGGGCTCTTCCTCAGCAATCCAAGTCCAGGAGACCCGTTCCAGAATTCAAGGTTTGTGACAGGTTTCGTACGCTGGAGAAATTCGCAAGACAAAGGGACATTTCTGGATAACGTTCGTAAAATTTCTCAGAATAAAACCGGTGGCTTGGAACTGCCGAACAACGCGACGCTCATCCGGGAGAACATCGTGGACAATTTCTCGTGCCAGGACAGGATCTACGGATACTACGCCGACATGGAGAACGACTGCCAAGTCTTCCACGTCTGCATGCCGCAGGCTAGGGGCTCGACCAGATGGAGCTTCATTTGTCCAGCTGAAACGGTCTTCAATCAGGTAAATTTTTAATTCGATCTCCTCTCTTTCCCTATCCTTATACGCAAAGATCTTATCTTCGCTGTTGACACAACTACAACTTGTTTGCAACTAACTTTTCTCGTTTATTTTTTTATTTAGAGGTCCTCTATCCTCTTATCTATTCTCTTAGTCTTCGTTATAGTATTATACTAAGTCGTCTCGTATGTGCGTGTGGAGTTTTGTACTACAACTTAAAGCAATATTATAAACATATAATGCAATTTTATGAAAAACAGTAAACCTCTTCTTGTTTGACAATTTCCTTCTCTTCATTTGGCAAAGCATTTGTATTGTTGTCATACTATTTCTTTGATTTTTTGTTAAAATATAGTTCAACACTTTTCATTAAAACGTTGACATTTTCAAATTGTTTACTCACTAATAAGACTGAAGATTGTTGTATTTTATTTCTTATAAAATTCGCCTTTATTATACAAGATGTTCAGCCACCTCTGTGGGGAATTTTAATGGGAGATTCTAGAGGGTAAAATAAGACGAAAATCAAGAATGCTAATTTGTTGATTGAGGTTTCGTTGAAAAGCTATTAACGTTTAAAGTTCCGCCTGTAGAACGGCAATCTGCGAACAGCTGCATAAGCGTGATAGTGATTCTCACTCAGCATGAGAAACTCTACTTACTGACATATCGATAGCCTTATAATTTTGTGAGTGAGAACCACTATCACGCGTACGCAGCTGTTCACAGATTGCCGTTCTACAGGCGGAACTTTAAACGTTAATAACTTTTTAACAAAGCCTCAATCAACAAACTGGTATTCTTGATTTTCGTCTTATTTTGGCCTCTAGAATCGCCCATTAAATTTTTTCAAGCCAGTGTGGATTCCAAACTTCAAGCTTTGACACAATATCTATTTGTTCCAAAGTATGAATTCTTGATGTTAGTTTAAAATTTCAGATAACCCCTGAACTGACAAATTGTGTTTGTTTTCTATTAAATTACAAATTTTATCCTCGACAATTTCAGATTATCGAACGACACAAACTTATGGGACGACCAAATAGTATTGGATAAAATTGGATTGTGATTACTGTGCAATCGAATCAGTGACTAATGTTGACAATTTCCAAGTAATTAGTAGTAATGGAACGATGAATAATGCAAATAATCAAAGCGTTAAATAATCGGACGCGATTAACTCATCAATTTTAATCACGAAACGATTGAATCAGTCGATTATAAAAATACTAAAAATAGATAGTAAGCGAAGTAATTTTTCATCGAACAATTACAAATTATTTTTGATTTGCGACTAACGATTAATTGAATAATGATTGCTCACCCAAGGCTTGCGGTTGACCTCTGCGTAATGGAAGCGTTTTATTCCATAAATGGAGTCGTTCCCACTCGTCGCAGTTCCGTTTTTCTTTACAAATCTCTCCAACCACTGAAATATTATTGAGTGTACATAGTTATTCTTCAAAATTAGACACATACACATTTTTATCAATTTATTCGAAGTTTGCTACTTACATTTGATCTAAAACAATTAAAGTAAGTTTTTCGTATAATTATCGTTTATTACACAGCGGTAAAAAGGAAAACAAAGGTTTCACTCACCATTTTCTAAAATCTTTACGATTTTTATGGTTATATTTACTTTTGAAGATAATCAGAAGAAATTTTTGATTTATAACGACAAATAACCATGAATTTGTTAAATACGTTACGATAAATTCATTAATAATAATATTTTGCTTTTATGAAAAATTTTAATTCTCAAAAAAATTGTCAATGCACTTAATATGCAGAAATATAAAAAATACCTAAAGTGAGATACAAATTATAACATTTAGGGGTTGAAACAACCCTCCACAAAGCTCCCATTACATTAATTCTATTGATTAAAACATGAATTTGCATAAAGATCCGCAGTCTAGTGATTATATACCTTCTTTTGTATAATCAGTGAACAATGACTTAAATGTTCATTAGTTTTACTATTTTGGTTCAGTATTTATATTTATTTCCTTCCAAGAACCATGTAATTTTTTTTTCATAGCAAGTTTTAGAGTTCTGTGTTTATAAATCTCTAGTTTGCAAGATGAATTTATTCTAATTTATTTATTATTTTTTAAACATAACATGCCCAATCAAGCGACGAAAAATCATATAGGACATGCAGTGGAAATAACTTTTAATAGTACGTTTTTACATGTATTATAATTCGTTTAATGTTTTTTAAATAGAATCAAATCAAATCAGACCATTACTATTTACGTATCTTCGATTCTTCTTTGACAGAAATGAAAATACGAATGGATTTAACAAATGATAAAGAATCAGATTGTTTAAGTTAGTTTCAGTGTATATTTCAAATTTTCAGTCGTTTATCAAGTAAAAACATGTTTAATGGCAAGAATTATTCCGTGAAAAAATGTATGTATACTTTTACTGAACGTATACTACATCTGACAAAATAAATTAAATGGATATGAACTAAGTTGACATTTTGGCCGTAACTTATGTACACTAGACTCCTTAGCTACAGGAGTCAAAATTTTTGTTTAATTTTTCTTTGACGCACCCCCCACAAATTGTGACACTTGACAAAGAAATCATGTATGTCAAATTTTAACGTGATTGGACAACTAGAACACGTGTAGCATTTTAATTGAAATTTTGAAATTATAAGGATTTCGCATTAGAGTCGAATGTACTTGTATCGTCTTATTCGAAATTTATTAACCGATATTTTTTGGTGAAATTATAATTCCTTTCGTGTAAAATAATAACATTACGTGTAATCTCCAATACTATTGTTCAATTTATTATTAAACATCGTATATAACATAGGGAGTGAGTCATAATTCGTGGCTTTTCCTTATGTATGGAAACTAAAATCGAGTGTAGGTGTGTTACGTCTTGCCAAACGATTATTTTCAATTGAAAGAATAAAGAAACATATACGATCATGTGTCAAAAATGTAAGTTGTTTTGCATCGTGCTAGGAAAAAGTTCTTTTCCTTTTTTCACGAGAATTAATAAAAGCCGCTTGATTGTAGATGAGGAGATCCCAGAAACCATTTTTCAAGTACACAGTCATCGTTTTCTGTTCTTCTTGTACGCCAAGTTTCATGCAATGTTAATCATTTTTTAGCTTTGATCACGATCGCGACACTCGTCTTGAGATCCAATTTTATTTTCTGTACGTTGTAAAATAACACACACAATACTTATCCATTACTAGGAAGCTTTGTATCAATAATTTGACTTTCGTCATGCCCCAACAAATATATTTCATTAGAACTTCTGGTCTCCATTTTTGTACACATTCGTTTTCTCTATAAATAATATTTTGTAATTTTATTTAAAAATATTCATTAAGATGGTACAACTGCATCTGACTCGAACGCGAAACCATAATAATTTCAAAACTTTAATTTAAATGGAGCACGTGTTCCTGTTGTTTAATCTTGCTGAAATTTTGCACAAAACTTTTTTTTACCAAGTGTCACAATTTTGTGGAGGGGGTGCGTCAAAAAATAATCGAAAGTCAAAAAATAAGGACCACCCTAGTACATCCACTTTTACGGTAACAGGTATAACGCAAAAGTTGCAATAAATTTAATATTTTTCGTTTCATCAGGCCACGTTCGTTTGCACGCTAACGGAAAATTCGATACCTTGCGAGGAGTCTGAGAGCTTTTACAATTTGAACGAGGCGATCGGCAAAGAAGTGGAAGAGGAAGAAAGCGATATGGAACATGCGACGAAGGAATCGGATGCCGTGGAGCCGATTTCGAGCAAACCGCCGGTCAGGACCTCGAGGATTTTAAACAGGAAGAAGTCGTTGCGAGCCTCGTCGTGATAGAAGAGTTTTATTTATACAGAGTTCGCGGAACGAAATCGACTATATCTGCTTGCCTGAAACACGATCGAGCAAAGAAAGAAGCTCGTCTAGTATTTAAGTGTCAATTGTAAAACCGCGCGACTGATTGTTCACGCGGCCAAAGAACGATCGCGCGAACGTAATAATCGCGTGCGTACGCGTGTAAAAAGTGTGCAATATATTAATGTAATTTTATAACGTTCCGATATCCTACGCTGAAAAGAAACGTCGCAATAAAGAAGTTAAAGTGTCCGTAAAAAATTTATTGTACAGAGTTATTGATACAAGTCGCTAATACTGGTAATCGGACGACTAATATAATCAAGCAGTCGTCTTGCGCGCGGAGAAAAACGAAGAGTTACACAAATGTCCCGAGCCTAGAACGAAAGGGGAAACGTCGGTGCAGAGATTCGATAGTTTGAATAATAAAAAAAAAAAAGAAAAAGAGAAAAATGACTTAACGGTTAAACAAAGTGATATTTATAGTTAGTACGATGTCGAGAAAACACGTTGCTGGCAACGTGCTCCTCGGTCGTTTATTTACAACTGATATGTGTCTATATTGGTTTCGTGACTTAGCAGCAAGTCGAGAATAAATTAAATAATTACGTAGGATAGCGTATAATTTATCAGCGTAATAGGAAGTTACTGTACATCGAAAGAAGTAATTCGTAGGATGAAGATAAAAAAAACACACACACACACGCACACACAAACGGGCTAGAGATAAATCCAATCTTTTCTTTTTATATAATTCAGGATGATATCGTATTTTTTATGAAATCGAAAAAATCACCAACGTCGAGTCGGTGACTTTCAGTTATTTTTTCCTATTCGGTATCTTTGGATAACTAGCCATTATGTCGTGGATAGGCGTGGCCTAATCCTCCGCTCGTAGATGCCGATAAAATAATTAACCACCAACAATTGCACCAACTTTCGTGCCCGCGAACGGTTCTCGCGACAAGCCTTTTCAAACGGTTTGAACTTCGACTTAAGTATGCACGTCGCCGAAGAAAGCGGAATTAGCGTCGGTTCGCGTGTCGACTATCTTCTAACAGTTACTGGCCTGAAATTATACTCAAGCAAATATCAACCAACGATCATAACAAAAATATTATTTATAATTAAAACGACTCCACGTTTGTTCCGTTAAACATACTATTTATATTACTTTGTACAGTCAAAGCTTCTATTTACAACGAGTTGTCGAGAGTACAATTGCCTCTCCTCAACGTATCCTTGACCAGCCTCTTATTTCGCTCAGACAAAAGAATAATATTAATACTTTTCTTCTGTACAAGCTTATCTCGTGATCGAGTCGATAAATACAGAGTATTGCACGGAAAACACCTAATTATTTCTTCCGCGTCTAACATCGTTTCATTTTCAGTTTTGGAAGATGCAAATTCGAAGCCATCGAAATAATCTCTGAAATATTTAGGTGTCTCGATTCAAGCGGGATGCTTTGTACATTAAAAGTTTTCGAAAATATGTTTTCTATGTTGACCACGAATATGAGTCTCACTGATGCAACAATTTATAAAAGACACGAACAAGCTAGGCTTCGGAGTCCGCGGCCAGGTCGGCTTCAATTTCCTCGGGACTCCTGAGATCTATGGCGAACCTCTTTTTGGCGTTGTTGCCGGACATTTCCGCCATCTTATCCTGAGCTTTCACGGTCCTCGAGTATATCTCAAAGGCAGTGGCCAGGGCGTAGGTCAGCTGTCTCGCGTGGTGTTTCGACTCGCACACGAAACCGTGGCACTCGAACGGCGAAACTCTTCGGAAGTTTTCCGTCTCGCGAACCACTATCATGGAGAATACCCTGGTGTAGACTAGGTCTTGAACGCCGTAGGAGATGGTCTCGATGGCATACATCTTGGCGAAGTGCGGGTCCTGCTTCCTCTTCTCGAGGGGCAGCAGGGCAACACCTTCCTGGGAAACGATCAGCTTGATCAAAGGAAGCATCGTGTTGGTCGGTAATGCCTTGGCGGCGGCCACCATGTTATCGACCGGCCTCCGCGTATGTTTGATGCCCCAGAGGCCCCTGGCATCATGAGAGCCCAGATATTTCACCTGAAAAGGGGTCTCCTTTAGTCTCCCACGCGCAACTCCGCTCAGGTAGTAATTAAACCTATGCGGAGACCTTGAGCTCTTAGCGTACGCGCTCCGGGACTTTCGAAACGGAGCGAGTTAAAATTTCCCCCCTCCCCCTCTCCGTACGTACGAAAGGAGAGTAGACGCACGAACTGTAGTACGTTTGGACAATAAATTAGGAAGTATCTAGCCATTGTGATGGAAATGACGAAACGTACGCGTCGGAGCGTGCTCGTTAACGGAAACAGGTAAAAGGTAAACACCCAGAAGATATACCTGAAACACCTGAGGCAGTTCCGTGGAACCGTCGAAGACATTGTTGTCGATGGACAGGCGGCACAACTTCGACACCAGATCCTTCTTTTTCTCGATGGAAGACACAGGATTCTTATCTTTTTTCATCTCCTCGTTCTCGTGGCTCGTCTGCGTGAAAAGCAGTCAACGGTTGTATACATGATTAATAGATATCCACGATATATTCCACGTTCAAATAAATACCGTTAGTATTTGTGAAAAGGTAACGGATTTTGATCGATTCAACGAAAGTGCGCGACAGTTACCGGATCGTTTGAAAAATCGAAAGACAGTTCGATCGATCGATCGATCGGTTTAAATCGTTCCGGACCGATGATCGGTACTCACTGGACTGTTATCTAACCGGCAGGCTCTCTGCGCTTGCCCAGGCTTCACTTTCAGGTGATACTCGACCACGTTCGGTATGTTCGGCGGGTTGGGAACGACTGAGGAAGCCGGAGAGGACGAAGAGGCGGTCGCTGGTCGTTCAGGAACGGCGTTTCCGGCCTCGGTCGCCCCGGATAACGGCGCTGTCATCACCGATCCAGACCCACCAACGATCTCTCCCGCCTAAAAAATTTCAAAGTTTCTCTATCACCCCTTCGTCCCGATGAACAACCATTGTTCGCGTTATCCGAACATCTTTTTTACGACGATTTCCTAACTCTAATTATTTTTTCCACCAATGATGATTACAGTCTTTATATAGCGGCGTATGGACGAACAAACCCATCTTTCACGAAGACTACACGATTAAATTTAATTAGATTTCATATATCGCAATTCACGCAATCATTGACAGAATAAAATGTCCTACAAACTGTTTCGTTTGACGACGTTATAAATAATTCTAATAATTAATTTGAAAACAAACTTAATCCCGGGCTTATAAGACCGATTTTTACACGGAAATATAATTTTTGTAATCCTGTTTATTACTAACGTTTCGTCTGCATTTTTCTAATTTCCACTAATACGTGAAGATTGTAAAGATATTACTTTAAGACCGGTTTTTACACAGGGATATAATTTTTATACTCCTCAAAATTTATATTACTGTATAAAAATCGGTCTTATAAACCCGGGATTAAATTTGTTTTCAAATTAGTTATTAGAATTATTTATAACGGTCGAAGAGCAAGGTCCGAATATAAAAAAATATCATTTACGATTTAATGGTGACAATTTTCTGTCTGTATTCACTTTGCTTTTGGTTAGATTTCGTTGGGAAATAAAATGTGTTGTTTTTGGTGAAATAAATTCGAAATCTCTTAAATTATCTTTTGATCGAAAACGAACCTTTTCCGATGGTGGGCCACTGTTCTCGTCGCTCCTCCCTGCGTCTTTGGCGTTCTTGATGACGCCGTCACCCCTCTTCCTGAAGCCAAAGTCTTCGTCCTCCATAATAATTCTTAGGATCCTCTTAGTCTTCGGAATCTTCTCCTCTATGTCAGTTTGTTCTTTTCCCTTTTTCCGCGTACCTAAAGTAGAGCAAATATAATAGATATTCGTTATCGTTCTGCGAGAATACGTATTGTGTCAGAGAATAATTTTTATAAATACAAATCGAACTCAATTTGCAGATTTATATTGATCATTTTGTGGCTATTTTTACGAATAATAAATTCCTTTAAATTCTTCGACTTCTTTTTTACATTAATCCATATCCTATATTTCATTTTTATTATTACTATTATCGATATAAAATAGTGCAATTAGAGTACTAAAAAAATATAACATTATAAAAGTGCACTGTCTTGTACAGAAGAAAATCCAAAATTAGGCAAGCAATCTTTTAGAGTTATTTTATAGAACGAAATAACACAAAAATCAAAAATGACGAAACTGCATTTGAGACTCTGTATTCGAATTATTAATTCATGAAAATACACGAAAAGGACGGAGGTATAATTTAATTTCTTTTTTAAGTAGAGAAAATAGAGAAAACTATTTAACTTATTTTTGTCAAATTTAATTATTTCTAAGATTGATTGAGAACATTCTATAATAATATGTATCAGGAAAAGTGAAAAAGTGCAAGACAAATCAGCATAGGTTGTCACATTTGATTATCATTTTATTTTAATATGTATAATCGCTTCTAAAAAATTATTCACCACTAAGTAAATACCAAGTATTTGCTTACATGATAGGAATATACAAACAAGCAATTTAATTATTACATTTTCCATCTTTAATTTTTAATCGTCTTTAATATAAATTACTGTTAGTAATTTAAAAAGGAGCTCTATTTTATAATAAACAAGATTCAAAATTAAACATCGAAACGTTTTGAATAAAATTATTTACCAATTATTAACTTCACTATCATGATTTTATAATTAAACTATCTTTTAAACTAATCAGTTTTCTACTGAATAGAAGAAATGCATGGATTACTCGGTACGAAAATATAAAAAAATCGAGCTGACTTAAATAGTATTGAAATATCTCTACACAAAACGCACAAACATATTCGATGCTACCCAATGAAATTTTGGTCTGGTTCTTTTGTTAACTCTTTTAAAACTACGCCTTGTACGAGTTTCGTGGAACACCATATACATGCCCTAAATAAACATTATCCATATTTGTAGTTACTGTATCGATGCCTATATCCTTTTATATCAAAAGATTGTCCATAAATAATGAACGCTCGCGCTAAATAAAGTGTGAAGTACATATTCTCGTTATTTATGTGTCGATTATGCCCAGCGGGCGAAACGACCGAGCAATTTACGATCGTGTAACGGCCAAGGGGAGGAAGATTCACCCCTCGTGGCCGTCATTACCGTCATCGTTACATCCCGAAACGCGTTCAGCCGCGGAATTAAAAACGGGCTTAACGTCTCGGGTTAAACCGGAAAACAGCTGTCGTCCAGCACGTGTTGCACCTTGCGCCCGATCGTTTCCTTCGTTCTCTTTCCGTCTGGCCGGCTTCGACCGTTTTGCGAATGTTTCGAAAAAAAATGAAACAACCGTTTACCCGGGCGTCGAACGACGGAACGTGAACGCGAGCGAACGCCAAACCGACTGGGACTCCCGTTCGCGGATCGCGCTGATTTAATCGATCGAAACGGATGCGAGAAGGCGCGTAAAACGCGATGGCTATCTAGGATCCTAAATGCGCACAGGGGGCTTGGCACCGAGCGCGCAGGAAATGAGTCAGGTGACCGACAGTCAGGTGAAAAGGGATTCATTAATGTATTCCGTCTGTTGGTCAGGTGTGGGCATTCTGTTGTTCGAATTCCCGTCGGTGAATCCCCGAGCGCGGTCACCGTTTCGAAAACAAGCCCTACCTTATGGTCGCCCTCGCGGAGCTCCAACAACCCGGAAATTCCGATGCACGACACCGCGTCCGCTTCGCAATACCTATTTTTCGACGTAAAAAAATTCATCCAGACAAATACGTCGCGATATTAACGCTGGAACTAACGAACTGGACAAAGTGACCCATTCGTAATTTCTAATGAAAATTGTTACACATTTACTTGACTGGATTTTTAAAAATTTATAATGGTTTTCTATAAGAGAATGGATAAACATTTATTTTTATTGAATTATACATTTCTTTAAATATCTATCGTTTTAATCACTGTGGTGCAAATAAATATACTATAATTGTTTGTAGTTTTAGTGTTAAGGGAGTATTCTAGCGTGAAGTGCGTTTGTTCAAATTTTTTTGAGGAACTTTTTACTAGTAAAGTATAACACCGTTTGCAGTCAAATTTACAAGGTTCATTTATATATATTTTAGTGATATTTAAATATTTCTTTGGGTGAAAATATGTTAAAATTGGAGGCACTGCATATTCTTAAACATAGTCGCTTTTAAAAAATGTCATCTCACCGTATCCATGATTCTGGTCATTCTGTTTGTTTGAATTGAAAAAATGTGAAAGATTCTTAATTAGTATGAATTTCGCTATAACTGGTACTAAAACAAAAGAAACAAGTCGATAACTAAAAAAATGGCTACAATTGAACTTTGATTATCTCGATTTTTTCATGTTATTTTTCAATTTCAGAAACCTAAAGAAACATCAAAAATAAAAATTTTGGATTAATTTTAGTACCGGCTACAGTCATAAATAAACTGCACATGTTTATGCATTTGTGGGAAATTTTAATTTTCAGAAAACTACAGAACGAACTTAATATACAAAACTATAAGGAATACTTAAAGCAAGATACAAATTATTATATTTAGGAGTTAAGACAAACCCCTACAAAGCTCCGATTTCATTAATTCTATTAATAAAAACATGAATTTGCATAAAGATCCGCAGTGTAGTCATAAATGTACTGAATGTACAACTAAAATTGTAAGCCAATTGATCAAATAGATTTTAAGATATCATGGACTCCATTCTAGTAAACATACTTTCGAGAAAAACACTTTAAAAGTTTTGTATTCCCATAACAATGACATTGACCATCGTGTCCTTTAAAGAGCCATAACTTCGTTAATTTTGGGATTCAGGTATAAGGTTTTGCAGACATACTTTTCAAATAATATTCTTTAAAAAAATGAAAAAAATAGAAATCGATTTTTTCGAAGGCTCAAACTAGAATACCCCCTTAACCCTCGAATGGTGCACGGTTTGAAATGGATGCGACAAACGAATAGAATTTCCATTTTATACAGGTTTCCGAAAAAAATTGTGCACAAAATTTCGTGCATATATTTTTTGACAACTTTTAAACCTTTCGTCTTTGAATACATTTCGATTTTATTTGCATAAAATTGTTAACGATTGCATTGAATCTTCAGAAAGATCTTTTTAAATTGGTAGAATCGAGATCTGCTTGAATTATCTAAACCGCGTCGTCACAAATGTAAACAGATATTTTAATAACGTCACTTTTTTTCTTGCAGATATCACCTTTAGATATACCCTTAACACTGTTTTAAGAAATTAATTTCTACTTCTTAAGGAAGTATTCTAGTTTAGAGTTTTATTTTTTGTTCCTTTTAGCAATTTTTTTATATAAAAAGTATAAGTTTCTTACATTCAACATTTTAGATACACATTTATTCATGTTTTACCAACGCTCACAATTTTTTTAAAGAGAAAATAATCAAATCTGACTAAATTATATGTCATTGAATAAGGTTCCTTTAAAAACAAGTGTCCCACTAACTGACACGATTTCGATCATTGATTACTATGATTGCAATTATTATGTGAACCAAAATAATAAAGAAAAGGATTTCCTTATTATTTATTTAGCTCGCTAACATGAAAAAGAATCAAGAAAATCGATATTCAAAATTCAAAGTGTCGCCACTTTATAAATTTTCACTGTTTTCCGAAAAGCAGAATGATCTTATTCAATGATACATTGTTCAACTAGTTTTGATTATTTTTACTTGAAAAAAATTGTGATCGTTTATAAAACATAGTTCATAAACACAGTTATGAGATTTATACTTTTTTGTAAAAAAAACCCTAAAAAGACAAAAAAAATGAAACTCTAGACTAGAATACTCCCTTAATGCTGTATCACATTTTTATTATGTAACATGTACACGAAGACTGACACTGAATATAACCTGAATCGTCCGTCTGTAAAACATTTAAAGGATCCCATATATTTGTCAATAATTGATACTACAAAGCTATTAAAGATAAGATATTCTATTTCTGTATCTTCTGCCTCTTTCGAGTGAATATTCGATCAAATTTAAACGAAGTATTCAGAATCATGGCTAACTTAAAAAAAAATTGAAATGATGATTTTATGTAAGTACACTTACAGTAGAAAGTCAATTTCGTAGGCTATGCGAATTGTTCAGCGCGCACACTTATCTTTTTCGATTCTGTGATGCGCTTCAAGCGGTAACTTAATAGCGCTTGAATATTTGGTGGTTGGTGTAATGATTGAGATACAATTAACTATTTTAATATTTAATAATCTATCTTAGTCTACTACAGTGCGGTCTTCACCTTTCTTGTTTAACTTTGCTAGCTGGTTTTAAAAAATGTTTATTTGATGGTAACTGATTCTAACTTTTTGTTGTTATGCCTGTCCCCGTCAGAAAAGCTACCCTTAAATACAAATCGGCCTTGGGTTCTGACGGGGATGAGGCACGCGGATTGGCTGCTGTGGTATTTTGAATTTTGTGCACGAATGATCAATTAGTGAAATATAAGTCCAGTTCTAACATTGTTAATGTTTCAGAGTCTATATTTATTTTGCAAATATTAGATATAAACGCATAATTAAAACTACACGTTTCACTTACATTATGAGTAATAAAGGAAAAAGAATGGTGTTAGAATTGAAAAAGAAATTTTGAAAAAGATTTCTAATGTAAATATGTATATATAATATTGGAAAGTCCACAATCGTCGAACTTAAAAACGATGAATCAAAATTGTTAAAGAACAAAATAATAATGCAAAAATGAATATTGCGTTAAGATTAACGAAAACTAAAGAAAAGGTAGATGCCTGTTCAATATTCATTGTAGAAGAAACAGAGTTATTAATTTATTTTTTATGTCACGTTTAACATATTCTTTAATATGATGAATATCTCTTTTAAAATTATTTTATTTCTTTTTATTATACGATACAGTTAGTTTTACTTTGGTAGATACTTGATATCTTGGTACTCCATAGATATCTGATACGCGATACTAGATACTTACTAGATTGGTTTTACTAGACTGATTAATCGAAAAATCGATTACTGGAACGAATTTTTCTCCCTATTAATTCGGATAATCGATATTTCACTATACATTGACTATTATAATTTTAATAATCGAAACTTCTAATCAAAAATTCTAAGACAATACATAGATAGAAAAATCAAGAGAGTTCGTTTGAAACATTTAAAATTAAAATTATTTTTTATCAGTCTTCTCGCTTGTTATCAGTAATTCATCCATCAAATCAATAATTGTACACGAACGAAACTACAGGTAGCACTCCTACAACACGGCATCCTATAACACGGTTTCGCTCTAACACGATAAGAAAATTGCGAAAACCTTTGTACAACACTGTACTTCTACAGCAGTGGATAACATGATTTTTGCTTAACATATTTAAAAACTAAATTACCTTAAAATAATGACGTGAAGGAATAATGAACTATAGTGGCTTTACATGAAAATATATAAACAAATTATAATTTATTAAATTAAGGTTGTGTTAAATTAAAATGATATTTTTTGTTTCACTTTTTGTTTTGTGTTATATTTACATACATTTATATTTTTCATAGAAATTAAGTTGCGTATGTAGAATTAAAAAAAAATATTTGTTTTTAATAAGTTTTGTGAACGTAACCCGCCTTTTTGTACTGGCTTTGGGTCTCATATAACACGGTTTCACACAACACGGCATTTTCTAGGAACCTATCTACCGTGTTATAGAAGGGTTACCTGTATATATTAATAACAGTACTTGATCAATTATTAAACGTATAAATAAAAAAATGTAACATAGTATATTATCAATAAAAAAAGAACAGAAATAAATAGAGAATTGGAGGTTAATAACTCGAATACAAGGGTCCTTCGTCAAACAGTGCAAAAAACCAAATGCAAAAAACGGTGTTTCTATTAGAATCAACGACGGCTAAAAAGGTAATGAAAAATCAACGAATTAACGAGAAAATGTAAATTCTATGTCGAGAATTTAAATCTCCGAGGCCTCGACGAACGACAACAGCTGGACGTGGTATATTTTCGAGCACCTTGTAAACACGCGGCGTCCGTACACCTGTCGTCCAATTACACCCGCGTACAATACTAGAACTGTTAACGCGTGTGTTCACGTACCGGGTGCTCCAATAAGAATCGATTCGTTTTCGATGCATAAACTAGACAAGGTGGACGACGAAACTGGGACGATTTATCAAAATAATTTGCGATAGTTTGGCGTACACGCGCAGAGAAGAAAAAGGCGCAGCATCGATGGTAACGGTATCTTTCGAGGATGAAACGGAGCAATAGACAGTCACTGCTCGTTATTACGGTTTTCCGTGATCTCCGTTACGTCCCGAGATATCGGACACCGACTTTCGACGACAAATCCGCCGTTAATCTTTGACATCGGCGAGAAATTAATCAACGTCGTTGCGCGATCCATCGATTCAAGGTCGACGCCGTTACACCGCGCCGGGAAGTCGAAAAAGAGAGCGATTCCATTTTCGTTTCGAGCTCACGAGAGGGTAACAGTGATACCGGAAGCCGCAGTAGATGGGTGTCTGACCGGAAGCTATTATGCCCGTGTCACGAACGAGTCGCAACGACTCGTGTCTAGCGTCGCTGGAATTTTCAAACCGTGGCCGTTCGCGTTTGCTCGGACTAATCGTCGCGACGTTCCTCTTATTTCTTAATTGCGCATTAACGCAGGTCGCCTAATTAATTAATACCGTGCACCGATCAACGGACGGACGTCTCGATGACTGAAACGCAAGCCGGTGCATCGGTGATTCATCGTTGTTCCTTGCCGCGCGGTTTCTCACGATACGGCGATACTACGCTCCGGCTGAAAACGCGGAAGAAGAACCGCGAAATCGAACACGACGCGTCGAGAAAATCGTTGGGAAGCGTCGAGAACTTTCGCGTCGGAAACGTAGACTAGTCTTATCGCATTGCAAATACTACCGTCGAGATAACGATGTTTTATTACTCCGAATACGAGGATTTCGAGTTGCGAAACGATGACTGGTGGAAACGCGACATCGAACAGGTGTTTAGCGATTTCCACGGGCAGAGGGAACGCGTCGATTAGATTTCGATTGTTTACCTTCACAGTCCTCGCACGTTCGACGACAATCGACATCACTGAAGGAGCACGGTCACGAAACACTTGGCCGGGATCGGAAAGTAGCCGGTATACAGGTGCAATCGTCTCAGGTGATCTCGATCCGAATGCAGCTGCGGCACGCGGGCTACGTGTTCCAGGTATCCGGAAACATGGTCGCGGATGTGGCTACCGGTCGATCGATCCGCACCCGTTCAACCGCGAAACCGTTCTGAGGATGGACCGATCTAGGATCCGGTGAACGATCGACGGAACAGCTGCCGGTACTATGCACTGTCGCTTGGTCGTACGCGACCGCCTGAAAATCTGGGACACGCCGCGCCGCGGCTCGCTTCGACTCGCGTCGACTGATAAAACGCACCGCGAAACTGCCACCATCGGCTCGCTGCCACGACTCACGCGTGCGTACTGATGGGACCGATCCGATACTCGTGATAGTCGACCAATTCAATGATCGACCGCTCCGTTGGGAAAATCGTATTCAAGGTACAACGACTGGAGAACAGATACGCGGCACGCTACACGTGCTCTTCGCTCTCTTCACGCGCTGAATATTCATTCGGTCATCCCATAACCAACATCTTTTTCTCACGCTGATTTTCGATGCGGATCAACACTTACGGTATTGGACAAAAATATTGGACCGTTTCATATGTTCGTACTGTGTTGTGTGGTACAACTTAAAGAGGGATTCTCATGTAACAGCGTTAAAATTAAAGTTTTCTTTTTCATTTTTTTCGGAGAGAATTAAAAGTTTTTTTGTATTAGACTTCTAGGAACGTGAAGAGAGACCCTTAACCAGTTAACTGTTTTTGACGAGTATACTCGTCATGAAAAAAGTGTAAAATGTTGTGTTATGACCAGTATATTCGTCATGAATAAGTAGCGACAACTTGCAGTTTAAATTGCAATTTTAGTGAAAACTAAAATATATTCGTAAACTTCAAGATATTTGAAATATTTTGAGGCCCGCCGAAATAAAAGTTTATAAATAATTAATATGAAAAAAACCGTATATAGTATGAATTATTTTTCGTCTTCTATTAGTCATCACAGAAGCAATTACGGATTCATATATTGCTTTAGACTATGCAATTAGTGGCGCGCTTAATTTCATGTTACACATACTCTGTGTTTGACGAGATACGCATTTTCCAAAGAGGTCGAAACAGTTAACTGGTTAAACTATATCAAAATATTTTTTTCGTTAATTCTTTATTAAATAGTAGTTAAGTCTTTTAATTTTATTCGACGATCATAGTTGGTGTACAGCGTAGTATCAGAACGCAGTAAATAAAAAATTTTCTTCAAGCTGGTTGGTTTCCATTGGTACTGAACCTATTTTAAACAAAAAATATGAAACATTTTTTAAACTATAGCATTTTAAAGAACAAATTTTGTTGGTATAACAATTTTATATAATTTTTGTTGGTATAAAAAAAGTTTAAGCTGGTTAGTTACCAAAAAAAGAATTATCCACATTTTTTATTTAAAATAGGTTCAGTACCAATGGAAACCAACCAGTTTTAAGAAAATTTTTCGTTTGTTGCGTTCTGATGCTAGGCTAAACACCAACTATGGTTACATCGTCGAATAGGATTAAAAGACTTAACTATTATTTAATAAAAGATAATAAAAGATGGACTAAAAAAATATTTTCATATAGTTTAAAGGTCTCTCTTTATGTCCTTAAAAGTCTAGTAATTCTTTACGAAAAGAATTAAAAAGAAAACTTTGATTTTAGCGCTATTACACAAGAGTCCCCTTTTAAAGCAATATTTTAAACATATAATGGAATTTTATGAAAAACAGTAAATCACTTCTCATTCGACAACTCCCTTCGTTTTTTTTTGGCAAAGCCATTGTATCGTCACTACAAAACTTCTTCAATTTTTCTATTAAAATATAGTTCAATGCTTTTCATTAAAACATTGATATTTTCAAATTGTTTACCCACTAATAAGCTTAAAAATTGTTGTATTTTATTTCTTATGAAGTTCGAAAAAACAAACAATTGGTTATCTGTTACTTATTACATAAAAATTCCAATTGTAGAATCAAATACTTCACAACGGATATACAAATTTAACTGTTGGTTTTCTAATCTATTATTCGAATAAAATAACCATCGTTAATGATGTCCCAAAATGGTGGAAAAATCTACATATACGTTGTTACATGATAAACGGGTAAAAGAGATCCCACAAAAATATTAATGTGACGTGCGACCAAACATGTCTACTAAAGAAATGACAATTGTTTTATAATTGCCTTATAATTTCATCCAAGCAAAATCGTGTTAAACTTATGTTAACATTTTTTTCTGTAACCTTTTTATTGTATGTTTCTCGAATTTAAAATTTTGTATACTCATTGTTAATATCATGCAATATGTATAAAATCTTCAATATATTTCTTTTATACGTACAAAATATAAGTAATCGGAGTGTCTTATATTTTTGTCCAGTACTGTTCTTAAGGTATAAGTACTTTAATAATCTTTGATAGAGATTAAAATTTGCATCGACCAACGCTTTCATAAAAATGAATAAAATTACAATCAGTTTACGTATCACACAATGTTGTTCAATTTTACCTTATAACATTCTTCCGTATCTCTAATTATTTTAGAGATATAGCTTTTCTTAATTGCGTGGCACATCCTGTATAATAATGTTACATATTTTATAATGCTTAATAATACATACAATGTCATTTATATAGACACTTAACGAACGTAGAATAAAAACAAATTAACATTGTGAAGCAATGTAAATTATAAAATGAAACTAAAACTTCTTTATTCGTTTCATTATAAAGGAAACATAACTCATATTGTATGTTTAAATATTTTAAAATGTTTAAAATTTTTAGCAAACAATTCAAAATTTTCGTTTTACGAGTGTATCAGCCTCGTTTGAAAACAATTCTTCAAATCAATGGTAGAATTTTATCTACAATTGTTTTTTAGTGTTTTTTGTTCCTTAATACCATTTCAACCTTTCTACAATATTATTCACAAGTCCTTCTTCGATTTTAAATTTATCTTCAAAATTTGCTTCCTCAAACAATTTTACTTATTGCATATTAATTTTAATTTCATAAGAGTGTTGTAAAATTTATAATAAAGTAGTAATTTGAAATGACTAAATGTAAGAAAGTTAATTTGCATTTTTCAAAAATGCGTGTAAAAATGGTACATGTTTTTGTTATATGTTTATTTAAATTGTGAAAGACTTAAGTATGATTTAAATAATTTAATTTGGATCAAGAGTGGCAATAATTTAACTCAAGAGACTCATGAGATTCGCGAGTCACGGGTTACCGACCCCTGGTGTATGAGAAAGTCGCATAATTTCGTGCTACAGCTAATTCTGCGATCATTTGAATAAATCTGATTTGCTTAATGTCACTAGCCCATTTTCGAAAATAATTTTCTCGAAGTATTTCGAAATTAGCCTACAGAAATACCAGATCAAGTTGGTGTAATTTTGTAATAATATATCACAAGTTATTTAAAATTTTATTACTGGCGTAGACGAATACGAATATTTTTACTCGTGGACCATAAACATTTTTTCTTTTGATTTTAATTTCATCGACTCCCTTGTATTCTACGACAAGGCTCACGAACTATTTCCACGACACGTTTAATGTTTTATTTGATGCTCTGAAGAGAGTTACACTACCTAATTAGTAAAAAATCGAGCGAAGATAATTAAAGATAATTCCTGCCTTTGCATGGTATCTTCAACTGAGAGGTAATGGACGTATAGGTATCGTTGGAATGTCGATACCATCTCATACGCTATTTAATTAAAGAAGCACTCTACAGCTGTTCCTTCTTAAAATTAATACAAGTGAAATTCAGTTCCTGAGCCTCCTTATAATTTAAATGGGATTAAACAAGCGAGTTATCAACGCATCGCTTGGAGGAACATATCCCGTAAAATGTAAAAAAAAAAGAAATCTTACCGAAACAGATACGTAAGATGTCTTCACCATCCCATCATTTGTTTAATTAGTTTCTTATGTTTCTCTGTTCCACAAAGATCAAAGAAGTTTCCAACAACCTTACATCACTGACGCTATTGTTTTGAAATAAATGTTTATATATATATCAACGAAGTTACGCGAGACAAAATAATTCTAGAAAAGCGAAAACAAATATCTTTGAAAGTTTAGTAACTTTTATAATATCTATGACAAATTTCCAACGCTAAATGAAAAGAGTTGAAACGTCGAATAAAATCTTCTGTAATTTTCTACTTTGTTACCAATGTGAAGACTGTATACGTTTATACTGATACGGAGTGCTTGCGTGTCTATTATCGCCGTGATTCTAAATCTTAACTAATGCTGAGATAACGGAGAAGCACCTGGATACAGAGTATATGTAGAGCAGGTACACGTTCCTGAACACAAAGAGTACTGATTAAGTTTCAAGAACAGTGGTATTCAAACTGGGTTCTACCGAACGTTTACATGGATTCCACAGCTTTTTTAAAAATTTAAATTTTTGCTAGTTGTTATATAATTTCTATTAATTTTTATTTACATTATCATTTCATAATGTTTTTATTCGACAATTTTAATGATCATACTTTATATTAAGACATTTTTTCTGTCTAGATGTCCTCAAAACTTCTTTAAGTTATAGTGTGAAAAATATGAACATTCAATATTTCAGTGACGCACTTGTTAATTTAGAAACATTTGTAATGGCAAGAATATTATTGAAAATTTTACAAATGTTGGGTTCATTTATTATAAATATTTGAATCAGTGTGTTAACAAAAAACATCTTAAAATCACACGATCATCTATGGCAAATCGACTATTTTTTGAAGTCCGAAGTTTTTAATAAAATCAAAATATGTCATAATTCGTGTGATATGATAAGGGGAGTTTAAGTCATTATTTGTATAAAAATATTTGAACAAGAGTTCACAAGACAATACAAGAGTATTGACATATTTAGAGTATGACATATTTTCAACAATTTTATCAGTTACTTTCAATGTTACTATTTGTATATAATAAAATCGTTATTTCCTTTAATAAATAAATGGTATTTTTTTATATTTATTCCCTCAATTATGTACTAAAATAAAGCGTGGCTTCTCATAGACAATACGTCTCGGTATTTTTAATATTTTATTTTTATATCAAAAATAATGGTTGACAAAAAAAATGTACATTCTGCAATATACTAGAAGAATTCAGATTCTAAAAATATTAAAGAGTCAAGAATAAATGAAATATGTATGTTTAATTATTTACAAATTAAAACTTCATTATTTATGCTGAATATGTTTGTAAACAAACATGAATATTGTTCTTATTCGATTAAATAAGATCGTCTTCCAGAAATGGAGTACTAAAGTGAATATTAAATTTGATCTGTTTTGATTTATAATTTAGATTAAAAACGATATTATTGCTTCAAAATTATGAACAATACGGCTATAAAAATATTAGCTTTGACCAAAACTAAACCGAAATATCT